GGGTTGGGTTGGGTTGGGTTGGGTTGGGTTGGGTTGGGTTGGGTTGGTTGGTTGGTTGGTTGGTTGGTTTTTTGATTGGTTGGTTGGTTTCCTTTTTTCCGGTTGGTTGGTTCTTCGGTTGGTTGGTTTTTCGGTTGGCTGGTTTTTCGGTTGATTGGTTTTTGCTTGGCTGGTTTTTCGGTTGGTTGGTTTTTTTTCGGTTGATTTGTTTTCCGGCTGGTTGGATTTTGGGTTGGTCGCTTTTTGGGTTGGTTGGTTTTTGGGTTGGTTGGTTTTTTTGGATGGATTGTTTTTGGGTTGGTTGTTTTGCTTTGGGGGGGTGGTTGGCATTTTTTTGGTTGCGTGTTTTTTTTTGTCGGTTGGTTCGTTGGTCTTTTTTGGTTGGCTGGTTGGTCTTGGTTAGTTGTTTTTGTTGGTTGTTTTGTTTTTCAATTGGTTGTTCGTTTTTGGTGGGTTGGTTGGTTGGCTTTTTTGGTTGCTGGCTTTTTTTTGGTCAGTTGGTTGGTTGGTTGTCGTTGGTTGTTTGGTTGGTTGGCTTTTTCGGTTGGTGGCTTTTTCGGTTGGTTGGATGTTCGTTTTTTTTTCCGGTTGGTTGCTTTTTTGGTCGGTTGGATGCTTTTTGGGTTGGTTGCTTTTTGGTTGGATTGTTTTTCTTTTCTTTTTTTGGTTGGTTGTCATTTTTGTTGGTTGGTTTGGATTTTTGGTTGCTTGAGGTTGGCCTTTTTTGGTTGGCTGGTTGGTCATGGCTGGTTAGCTGTTGTTTGGTTGGATTGTTTTTTGGGTTGGTTGCCTTTTTTTGATGGGTTGGCTGCTGAAAGTGCAGAAGGACCTTGGCCTGGGTTTACCGTTTTGAAACACAGTTCCTGCCCTCTCCCAGTTCCCTGCTGGGTCAGAAACTTCGAAGCTGTTGAAGTAGGAGCCAAACTCCAGAAGATTCGAGCACCAACCCCTGGTTGTCGAGAGCCTTGTCTGAAAGCTCAAAGGTCTTGACATTAATTTGTTTTCTTTTCCGATATGGTGGGGTTATGGTTGGAGACTATACTCTATCTTGTGACTCCGAGATATGTTATCACCCAAAAGTGTCTTGACCTGCAGGAAGCGACCAGTTTCCTTTGGGTGGTGTTCCTTGCAGCAGAGCACACGGTCCAGAGTCTTAGTCTACTTCTCTGGTACCAGAAGGCTATCATAAGGGGTTGTGGGCTCTTTGGGGCTTGTTGGCTGACACTGGCCACAAAGTCCTTGTTGCAATAGGAGCCTTGTGGAGGGAAGCGACTTCGAGCGTCGTGGCTGTACGGGCGCCATGACCTTGGCTGAAATCTCAAAGGAACTGACAACAATTGGCACAAGCCGCGCTTGCACCCCGCTTTTTTCATCTTTTTTCCAACAGGACAGGCATATCGGACCTGGGCTGTTGCGCAACCGCATGGGCCCCGTTGGGTTCAGGCACTTCAAACACTCTCCGCAACACTCTTGTGGGATACTCTTGCAGAACACGCTTGTGGGACAGTCTTGCAGGATACGTTCCTGTGGAAAGCTCTTGTGGGACACTGTCATGCAACACTGTTGTGGGTTGTCCACTGGATTTGGATCCAACATGAGCAGTGCGTCAGAAGTTTCAGCCGCGTTCCAGCTTGCCGAGTGAACATCAATGTTAACAATGCTTCACGTGTTAGGTGGGTACAACTTTATCACGGAAAGGTCTGAGAAAGTAAACGGTGTTCAGGTTCATGAGTTCATAACTTCTCAAAGTGAATGCTAACTTGCTCCACTATTACATGGAAGTCTTGGTATTTAATCCTAGTAGCTCCAGAACTGCTGGGCTGTTAGGACAGTGGTGCAGGTATTAGCTGCCTGAAACCCACTGAGTACCATCATAGAGGAGTGCCGGACGGAACAACCATACGATAAGTCATGAGACGATCCTCATTCACGATCTACAAAGGCATGCAACAAAGAGCTGGCTTCTGCGGAATCTGAACCTTTTGCCCCAAGCGGCAAACTCGCTGCTCCATTCACCCCGAGATCTTGAAAGTGCGTTTCGACGCCGCGAGCTCGCAGAAATTGGTGTGCTGGTGCGGGTGGTCTTCTCGACTGTGATCTCGTTGTCGTGCGCAGGCGCAGGCGATTGGAGTTCGATGTGCAGATTTCGTGGCAGGCTGGTGGTCTTCGGCGCACTCTGCAGGTGCAGCGAATCATGACTTTTGACATGTGGCTCGTTTTCAGAAATCGGGGGATGTCTCGAGCGAAAGCTGCGAAGTCTTTGGAGGTTGTCTTTGGAAGTGCTCTTGCTGCGAAATGCATTGGCAGGGCTGCGCGATGTGAATCTTGAATCGTGTCACACGCAGCACTTTGTGGACCTCAAAGTGCAGATCTCGTGGCCGCAGCAGGTGCGCTCTCATATGTAGCCAGGCGAGGCGATTGTGTGCTCTTATGCATGTACTGCCAAATGTGCTCTTATACATGTGCTCTCCAGATCTCTAGACATCTCTCTCCACAGAACAACGATCGCTTCGCGCGACCTCGCGCTATATCTCGGATCTCTCAAGCTCTGTGACCTCGACCACCTGGCCTTGGTCGATCTTGAGAAAGACCATGTCTGGACTCTAGGCGTCCAGACTTCTAGAGCTTCAGACCAGGTTTCGCCAGGCCTAGAGCTCCTAGACTTCTACAACTTTAGACCTCGACCTCTAGATGTCTGCGCTCCAGACCTCTACAACTCTAGAGCTCCCAACACCTCTGGATCTAGACCTCGACCTCTAGACCCCTCAAACTGATCAGTCGAAGCTGGAACCAAAGCCTGCTGGGACAAAGGACAGACACTGTGCAAAGTGTGCCCCAGGTGGTTGGAACAGTTCCAGTTCCGGTTCAGTTCCTCCTCCTCTCCTCGCGCATCCAATCCTTTGGATCCAGAGCGATCCAGAGCGGTTTAGGGACGAAAGAAAGAGGGACGAAAGAAAGAGATCATCAGGTTCCAAAGATAGGAAGGGGGTATCAATATAGATAGGTAAGTTATTTTTTTAATCAATCATATATCATATATATAATATGTTTATTTGGGATTGGATATAGTAAGGGTCCCAAAGTAGATGGACACGCTTTTCTAATGCATTTGAACAGGAGGGAAAGCGTCTAGGCCTATCTTTACTCAGCTTCTGCATGTAGGATGAGTGAGATCACTGAAAAGGCCTTTGGTGAGCGAGATCACCTCCATTCCGAGGCCTAACATAGTCACTCAGCAATGGAGCCCTAACAGGTTGATAGGAGTGTTCAACATGTTCAAAAGCTTGAGTCAAAACCCTGGTCAAGCAGGTCAAGCTGCCATGGTTTCAAACCATGGCCGCTTGACCTGGTTGACCATGGTGGTCTGGTTGACCACCAGACTACTGCGACGAAAAAGCCGGTCATCAAGAGTACGGCGAACAGAACAGCATGACCGGCAGCTAGCTGACAGCTTTAAAAACCGGCTCTTACATACACCATGATACTGGTTTTGGGCCCCACGGCTGAGTAGCTGAGTTGCCACTCGACTACCACGTAAACCCTTCGATTGCCTTCGCCTTTCCCACACGCGTCGACCATCCCTTTAGGGCTCATCCAAACCTTTGCTTCGACACGAAGCAGGCCGGTCGGACAATCCCCAGCAGCATGCAGCGCGCGCAAGGCCGTCGCTCTCCTTGGCAGGGTCTCATTCGTCCTCCCAAAAAGAGGTTGGAATGGTTGGAAAGCATTGGAATCACCAAAACTAATCTAGACTGTTGATGAATAAAGTCGCCCATGTCAATATTGATTGATATTTTATAAAACCCCAACCAAATAGATGGTAACAGGATGTCGAAGGTCTAAGCCCTCAGAAAGAAACAAACATGGAAGTGCAAAATGGCCTGTCACACCAAGGAAAACCATCTTCCATCCGGGGTCATGTTCCACTTCCATGTGTGTTGGAGGGATGGATTCTTAACCCTCAAATGGACACCTCAAGGCGACTATAGCTGCATCATCTCAATGTCACCGCGAGTCGTTTTTTGTCGGAGGGACCGGACCGTGGGCCGATGAACGTCGCACTGTTGGCATCCCCGACGCGACGTCCGGACCCTCCGTTGAGTAGGGGGCCGGACCCGAACCGTTCAGTAGGGGTGTGGACCCAAACCAATCCCAGGGTTTGCTTCGGGACCAGTCGAGCTGTGAACTCACGGAGCGTCTGGCATCAAACCCTTCGGCGTGGGACGATCCATCCGTTGGGCCACGATCCATCCGACTGATGCACGATCGGAGCGGCATGACGGGGCATGGACTCCTGTTTTCTTTTTCTGACATCCAAAACGAAAGCAACACCAACCTGAACATGTAAACACCATGTAGCGGTAGACTCTTGAATTTTCACCACCCATCATGAAGAGGTTTCTACCGTCCACATGAGGGGGGTTATTCATCAAGAGTCTACATCGGCCCCATGTTTTTGATTGTTTTTGGATGATTTTGAGGTCTTTCGAAGCACGTGCCCGATGGAGCGACGGCGCTGTGCCGAGCGAGGCCGCGAGCGCAGCTTCGCGTTGTTCAAACGGGGGTCCATGGAAATCACCGAACGACCATAAACCCCCCATATCAAGAGTCTACATTACGTGGGGTTTATCTGTACCATCGAACCTCTGAAGCCAATGACTTGTGCCTCGTACTCCACATCTTGATCGAGCTTGCACTATTAGTCCAAAGCTTGCCGTAATTAGAATGGAGTGCGCAGTTGCGCGACAACCGAGTTGGACGTGCCTCGTTCCCTTTCACTCCTCCATTCGCTTTTACTGGATTTGGTTGAGTACTGATTTCTCGACCATCGCCATCAAGCAAGACCCCATCGCCATGCAGCGGCCTGCCCCAGACCATCGACAGTTGTCTTCGTTCCCTCCCCAAAAAGACCACTTAAGGCGTACGCTTCACCCACCCCAGCTGTGAGCCAGTCTATGTGCGTGCCTCCTTTTTGTTCAAACTTTGCGAGCGAGCAGTCAGTCGCTGTCATCGGCCAAAACTTTACATGCAAACCATGCGGGACACGGGACCGGAACACCCCGGTCGCGGCGCGCGAGGAGCGGACGCGGACCTCGGAATGGGGTGTTCCGGCGACGGCCTTCGGCCCGCTGCCAAAGCGGTGGTCACTTCCTGCCACGGGCCGCGTCCAACCTCGGTGCTGCAGACGTGGTTGGACGGATCACGAGACGTGGTTGGACCTATGGTTGGATCAAGCTGATCAGCCACCACGCTGAAGTCTGGATTACATGGGGCCTGCTTCATACGGCCTAGTCTGGATGGTTGATCTGACTGGAACCGCTTCCGCGCTGGTGATGCGTTCGGATTTGGACCCACCGGCGCCGGAGGGTTTCGACGGTTTCGTGTCCTGGCCACGCCCGGAAGGACGGAACGAGGACCGGTCGGAACGAGGTCCTTCCCTGGCCGAGCCTCAAAACCCTCAAAACCCCTTAGTTGAGGGTCCATGATCCGGGGTCTTCCGTCGACGACTTGGTGTTCTTCTCTTCTCCCTCCGTCCGACTTTAGCGGTTGGGACCGGGGAAACATCCAGTTTGGTTGTTTGGGCTTCGTATGCCGGGCCTAAGAGAGGTGAAAACGGCTCGTACAGGGCCGTTGAGAAGCTCCGGCTTCTGGCCCCGAGCGAAACACGAGATCTCAACCGTCTGAATCCTCTCAATTGGAGAAAAAGACAAGAGTAGGGAGTGTTCAAGGCTGTGGGTCAAAACCATGTCAAACCAGCGGACTGGTGCTAACAGGAAGGTCTGGTTCTTTCTTTTCCAGCGAGAAAATCGGAATGTGATTAGAATGAAATACGGTATGCGGTATGTGGTTTTGCTGCCACGGCTGATTTGGCTGTGAAGGCACACACCTCAAGCCAAACTCGATACCGATACTGACCGACTCTGTTGTCTTAGTCTCCCACTTGACTTGCACGAATGATCTCCCGCACCGGTCACATCATCGACACCAAAACAGACGTGGCAAGTTCGAAGCTGTTGCCACTTGGAACACATCCAAGTTTCCGGGTTTTGTGCACAAACCTACCCCTCTGTACCAAAGTGGTCTTCGCATGTTTTGACCGTGGCTCATATAGATCCCTCATCCAACCGAACGGAGAACGCAGGGTTTCTTTCCACCAAGCCGCGCAAGAAGGGTCCCTCACTCCTGTGCTCGCGCAGCCCCACCGCGGTAGCCGCCCTTGCCGTAGCGCTCGCGTGTGCCGCCGCGCAAATCTTCGCTGCCGTGGGCGTAGGTGCATTTGGGTCCCATCTTACACCAGCCAGACTGCCAGTGCCAACATGGCACCTCCTGGAGCGGAGAAGAGTCTGACCGAGAGGAGGAGGGATGTCCGGGTTCGTGGGAGTCGGAGAAATGGGAGACCAAGAAGGCTACTGCCCGTGGAAGCAACCAGTTCGATCATTGCTCTGCTAGAGAAATGGGGGGCATAGCGTCCGCCTGGCGGAAAGGACAGGTCAGTGGCTGCTCTTGGGGAGGGCATGCGGCGCATGAAGTAGGGCGAATGGGTAGATCAAGTGTGGAAGTGAATGGGTGGACTCGACTCAAAGGAGGATCCCATGTTTCAATCATTGCTTCGGTGCAGTTCTGTGCGCTCTTGCCACGAAGGTTTGCCACTGTGCCATACATGCACCATACAGAACAGCCCAAGTGCGGAAAAGAATACCCTCGGTCACTGCTTTGTCCCCCAAACCTGCACACCATTTGATACCCAAACCTGCAGGTCATCTTCCAAGAGACACAAACAAACTCACACTTCTGCAGGTGAAAGGGGCACCACCGGACCAGACCGAAGAAAACCCTCGAACCCTCCACTCCAGGTGGACTCAAATCGAACCCAAAGGCTATGGAGAACATACATCACACATCCTCTAGTTTGGAAGCGAGTTACCCCCTCTCGCCTTGAAGCGAGGGATCACGAAGGCCAACGTATCATCTGCCGCCTGGCACAGCGCCCCGTCGGACTGATGATGCACCTGGCGGCGGGACTCGGCGGAATCGGTTCGGGTGCTTTTGGATCAAACAAATAGCATTTCTGCTTTCATAGAGGTTCGCTACCTTTGTTCCAGTTTCTTCAACGGTAGTAATCCAGAGATTTCTCAAACACAAAGTACTATATAGATAGAGAACAATCCGGCCTATTTCACCTCCAACCTCCTTGGGTCTCCTTTCAATCTGAAGCGACTCGTCCGGTACTCGTCATGCCCCACTCACCTATTTCACCTATTTCAGCACCTATTTCAGCACCTGGAACCGCCGCAACCGCGTTCTCCGGAAACCACGTCCCGGCGTTTTGCGTGGATTTGGGGCGTCCCACTCCCGCCACTCCCGAGATCGCCTTGGCTTGAAGGCCGGCTTCTTGGATCGAAGTCCGCTGGGTCTTCAGGCTCTCTTGCCAAAAGTATCGATTCCTCAGATCGTTGGTCTGTTCTGAGCGATGTCAGGGATTTCAGGAACGGGACACTCGTCTCGAGGTTTCTCTGTGGACTTGTTGGGGAGGTTTCCTCTGTTTTGGGCCTGGGGCGTTTGCTGCGTGTGTGGCTGAGTTTGGCACCTTTGAGGCGTGTCACTGGCATCTTTATGGCGCTTCTTAAGTTGAGCTACTTGATACACGCAGGTAGAATTCTTGGAGAACCCTAAACCATCCCAAACCAGGAATTTAGCCAGTTATGGACATACATTGGAATACCTGCCACCGACCACCTGTGTATTTTGATGCAACAAATACTGAACAGGTGTGACAGACGGACAATGACAGCTTGTGACAGCTGACAGCTTGTATCGGCAAAACATCGACCCGGTGTTTAAGCGAAACACAACAATCGAAAACACCATTGAACATCGAAATTTGGAGTTGTTTCCGTGTATCTTTAGCATACTTTTCTAGCTTTGTTTAAGAAAAAAAACACATAGGACCCGTGTGTGAATGGTGCAGGCGGGTCAAACCGTTCGATTCGTAGCACCCGGTCCGGCGCAACGTCACAAATAGCCGCCACCGTCACGTGTACAAAGCCCAAATGGCCCGGCTGCCACAGGGGGTTGAACCTCTACAGTATTTGAATGTTTGTTGGTGGTTTCTGTTGCCAAAGCCTTTGGGAAGGGCGATAGCCAAATTGGTATACCCCTCGGGTGGTTGGGTTGTTTAGGAAGCAAAGTCGCTAGAACCACAGAAATCACAGTGATACAGCGACGTGTTCCAACTCATAGTGACTATGTCATAGTGTGGAGGAAGAGGGTCTTCTTCCCGGGTTTGACTCAAACCCGTCGGTGACGTCCTGCTGGTTTTTTTGTCCCTTGTGACATCCGGGCTTCGAAGGAGATTTCGGGAGCTTGGGCATCAATTCTCCAGATGAGGCGGCCGTTTCTATCATGATCTATATACATCATCAGCACTCCAACAACTGTCTAACAGCTCCTGCTACCTGCCGTGAAATAGGACATTTAGCAGCTACAGCTAGGTGCAATGGTCCCAGCACGCCAAACGAGCTAACTTCATCCAACAGTTGAAGGGATTGAAGAGAAAAACACCATTCAACGACCTTTAGAGTTGAAGGGTAAGACATTCAAGTGGCCGCCAAAGATTGCGAAGATTCCATGAAAACATCTTGAGTTCCTCATGAATTCAACTGGTGGAGCATCCTCCCTGGTCCCACCTACTTTGTCTTCGCCTTTGTCCAAAAGCGTGATCAAAGGTGACCAGGACCGGAAAAGAATATGTAAAAAACATTCTCCATCCCTCCCAGTCTTGGATCCACCAGCGGCGTCAAACAAACATCCCATGTGGCACGTACCCGCACGTAGCGCTCCATCCCGCTCCACCCCCATGACCTGGCAGGTCCGGACCCATAGGACTTGTCACCTGAGGTCCCTCTAATCCTCTTGCCAACTCGGTCTCCATCCGACCGACCTGGGGGGCGGTACCCGAGTCGAACTCCTTCATCGGCGCCAAGGGACTGACGTGAAGCGTCCATCATCTGGCGCAACGACACCAGTCCACCATACCTGGGAAGTGGACAGCCGGACGGTACCGAGACCCTCCCCTTGGTTTTCCTTCGGGGGACTTACCCGTCGACGTCTCAGTGTTTTCCTTCGGCGCGCGGCGTTGGGTGGATGGCATGAGTCGAGGAGGAGCATTGGGTGGACATGAAGGAGATTCACCGGGTGGTGGACATTCAGTTGTTTCACAAACTCTGAAAAACAAAAACAACAAACATAGAAACCTAATCTTTTAGTGTTTTCAACTGTACCCAAGAGTGTCCGGTAGAAGTGTCCTACAAGAGTGTCTTACAAGAGTGTCCCGCAAAAGTGTTCCACAAAACCACAAGAGTGTCCCACGAGAGTGTCCGACAGTGACCTTTTCATATAAAGCACACATTTTCCGAAAACCGGAAGACAACAGGTCCGAAAAACGGAAATGCATGATATAAAAGGGTCCGTGTGCCAGATGTAAACAATGACAAACATGAAGGATTTTTAAGGTAGAGACAGCTGGAAGTTGGTTGATCATTTTATAAGCAAGCAATGTTGTGAGAGATTGAGACCATGGTGAAGATGGAAACTCAATTTATAAAACACAAAGGTCTGTGTCGGAACTCTTTATAAAATGGGGATCTTGGTCCGTCCTATACAAAATGACTTTTCCAATACTCTTTTAATAAACAACACACATTTTCCGAAAAGAATGAAAACAATACGAAACGCACAAAACAAGCGGACTTTCAGCGGAAATGCATTACATACAAGGGTCGGCCTGTCAGATGTAACCATTTTATATACATGGATGATTTCTATCATAGGACAGCTAGATGTCAGTTCCCTAGTTTATAAACAAGCAATGTTATCAGAGAATGAAACCAGCAGAGAGGTCACCAGTGCCGAAAAAGAGTAACGCCATGAACGTGCTCGGATTCTTGCGCTCTTGACCTTCGTTGCTCAATTTCACAGGTATTGAAGATTCTGCGAGCTTCTTTTGTTCATGAGAAACAGCTGTGTACACAAATATTATAAGCATTCAGTGTAGTAGGAAGTACTGCCTGTATATCAGATGTTGGCATATGTGTTTGAAAGTTTTGGCATTGTACCAAGTTCCATCATATTTGCGCACACCCTATCACAAACACCTATTTTAAAAAACCAC